TAGTCACTATTGTAATTAATAGCAGTACTAGTGTTTAGAATTTTTTAAGTTATTATTGTTATACTTTGTTTTTAAAATGTTAAAGTTCTATGCCAGTATCCTGTTGAGGAATGTTAGCGTTTTGAAAATTAAATATATTTTTGCCTAATTTTTGGTTTTGGGATTTCAGGCATTTTTCCCAGTGCTGTTCCAAAGACATGTCCACACTGATGGAGATGCTCTGTGTCTATGGCAGCCATGTGCTCCATGTGGCTACTGAGCACTTGACATATGGCTAGTGCAATTGACAATCTGAATTTCTAATTTTATTTCACTTTTTAGTATAAATATTGTGTGGGTGATACTTACACAAAGTATTTCATCTGAGAAACTGAAATAGCTACATGTCACTAGTGCCCGCAGTATTGAACAGTGTTGCTCTAGGCAACTGTTTTGTTAAAATAGGTAAAATTATTATCCCAATTCTATAAGAGTATATAAGACATAAGACAAATCACTGTAATTAATTTCCCCACACTTCAGTTTGTGACCCATTTTCTTTTCTTTTCTTTTTTGACTCCTGGGTGATGTGTGTGTGTGGGGGTGTGTGCTGGATCAATTTCTTCTTTTTTTTTTTCCTTTTCAATTCAGGGGGTACATATGCAGGTCTGCTACGTGGGCATATTGAGTGATTCTGGAGTTTGGGCGTCAGTTGAACTCATCACCCAAATAGTGAACATAGCACCCAAGAAGTAGATTTGCAGCCCTTGCCCCCTCTCTCTCTCCCTCCCTCCCTCCCTGCTCCCTCCCCTCTTGGAGTCCTCAGTGTCTGTCATTTCCATCTTTATGTCCACGTGTGCCCACTGTTTAGCTCCCACTTATAGCTGAGAACAGTCAGCATCTAATTTTCTGTTTTTGCATTAATTCACTTAGGAAAATGTCCTTTAGCTGCATCCATGTTCCTGCAAAGGACATAATTTCATTTTTTATGGCTACATAGTATTCCATGGTGTATATGTACCATATTTTCTTTATCCAATAATCCACTGATGGACACTTAAGTTGATTCCATGATCTTGTTATTGTGAATAGGGCTGCAATAAACATAGGAGTGCAGGTGTCTTTTTGAACAAAACTATTTTTTTTTCTTTTGAGTAGATACCCAGTAGTGGAATTGCTGGGTCAAATGGTATATCTATTTTTAGTTCTTTGAAAAATCTCCATACTATTTTCCACTAGGGTTGAACTAATTTACATCCCTTCCAGTAGCATATAAGTTTATCTTTTTCTCCATACCCTCACCAACATCTGTTATTAGTTTGACTTTTTATTAATAACCATTCTGACTGGTATGAGATGATATCTCATTGTGGTTGTAACTTGCATGTCGTTGGTGATAGTGATATTGAACATTTTGTCATGATCGTGGGCTGTTATATGTCTTCTTTGGAGAAGTACGTGTTAATATTAATAATGTGACCTATTTTCCAAGAGATCAAGACCATCTTGGCCAACATGGTGAAACCCCGTCTCTATTAAAAGTACAAAAATTAACTGGGCGTGGTGGCAGGTGCCTGTAGTCCCAGCTACTTGGGAGGCTGAGGCAAGAGAATCACTTGAAACGGGGAGGCGGAGGTTGCAGTGAGCAGAGATTGCACTACTGCACTCTAGCCTGGCGACAGAGCGAGACTCAGTCTCCAAATAATAATAATAATATAATAATAATAATAAATAAATCACAATTATGTGACCTATTTTCTAAAACAAAAACATACAGTTGCTTAATTATACTGTGGGAAGATTCAGAGACTTTCAATCATGTGAAATTGAACTTCCTACCAGGTGGTTGCTCCCCTACCCTCTGCCTTTACCTGAAACCTGTCGCCCACTTGCTGTCTCCCTTATACTCCCAGCTTGCTTCTACCGTACAACTACAGGAGAAACCATTCTGGAAAGTTCTTCCCCAGACATTTCTCCGGCTTTTCCTGTGGTCTTCATTCAACCCTCAGCATTTCAGAGGCTGGCTCCCGCCCCTGCCATCCTCCCCTCCAGGCCCAGCTGCTCCACCCTTGCCCTGCCACTTCTTCACATCAGCCTGTTTTTTGTTCTTCACGGCACCATCGTGAATGATATTTGTAGCTTATCTGTTTGTTATATTCTGCCCTTCTCCTATCTAAAAAGTAAGTCTTGTGCGAGAGGAACCCTATCAACATATGCACCACGGAACACCAAGGACTCAGAACAGAGTCGGTAGAGACTCAGTGCTCAAAATATCCTGCTCAAAACATGAATCCACAGGGGAATTTAATCATTTGCATTTCTGCACTTTGCATTCACGTATCAATCACCTTCCTTTTTCTTCCATGTTGCTGCTTTTTATTACATATGAATTTAGCACATTTAGAGATCCATGGATCCACTCAAGAGCTACTGCTGAAACAAAATTCAACTTTGGTCACGATTAAATTTTCTCTTTAAAATCAATATATTCCATGTCATAAAAGACTATTCTTCATACTAGCATTCTGTGCTTGAATTCCAACATATGTTTTTCTATATAATCTTTTAATCATTTTTTAAAAAAAACAATGATTTTATCTTGTAGTCATTACTGTATAATTTTTAATTATTTAAAAATAATTATTTAACAATAATCTTGTTAAAACCAATTCAGTAAGACTCATCATTCCCCTACCCTACCTTTGGTAGTATTATGGAAACAAAAATGCTAAAGTCGGAGTTTGTATCCTTAAAAAGCCTTCTTTTTTTTTTTTTTTTTTTTTTTTTTTTTTGTCCTGAGACGGCATCTCACCCTGTCACCCAGGCTGGAGTGCAGTGGCACAGTCTCGGCTCACTGCACCCTTGGCTCCCTGGGTTCAAGTAATTTTCCTGCCTCGGCCTCCTGAGTAGCCGGGTTACAGGTGTGTGCAATCACGCCTGGCTAATTTTTGTATTTTTAGTAGACATGGGGTTTCACCATGTTACCCAGGCTAGTCTTGAACTCTTGACCCCCTGATCTGCCTGCCTGGGACTCCCAAAGTGCTGAGATTATAGGCGTGAGCCACCGCGCCCAGCCTTCTTGTTTGTTTTTAACTAGGAAGGAAGATGAGATGGTCACCAGTAACTATGGTAGATGACCTGGTCCCCAGACTCAGAGGAGTCCTGGGGAAATGAAGCCCTGATTAGCAATGGGAAGGAAAGGGTGTAACTAGGTGGCAAAGGCATCTGTGGGTGTTAAGGAACCTTCAGGATTAATATTGCCAGCTACTCAAAGAGAGGGATAGGTGTTATTTTAATTAGGAACTTTACACCAAATTGAAGATATTTGTCAACATCTGTGCGTGTTGATAAGTACTGAGTTTCCCAAAATTCCTCATTGTTATTAGCTAAGTAATTCATTAGAGACAACTGAACTGAAATGATAGGTTTTTTCCCCATGTCTTTCCAATTAAAAGGGTTCCACCAGCCAGAGAGTCTATTGACAGTATTCTATTTGGAAACGTGTGTTCCCAAGTTAAATTTGGGATGAAAGGAACACTGGGCAGAGAATTCTTTCCTGGCCCACTCTATCCCTGGAGTCATCCTGGATACTCTCTGATTCCACTTGGGACTCATCCCATGCAGCAAATCGTATTTATCTAGGATTGCTGAGGACTATCATGTTAATATTACAGTAGCTGACTTTAAATGATTGTAGGAAAATGTAAGACTGAGATCCTTTCAACTTCCTATTTCTGTATGACACTTGTTTCCTCTTCCTCACCTTTCACATTTGCACAGGGCGTGGTATGAAGAAGCTCTTCTGAGACCCCTTAGCAAGGTCAAGGATTAGAAAGATTCAGAAAGGAGCGAGGTGCTCCCCTGCACCCTTTGTGAAGTGATGAGCTGGGGGTTAATACTTCCTGCAGGTGCTGGAGGTTGGTAAAACAAAGTGCTGTCAGGTGGGGATTCTGCATTTGGGAGCCACAGATCGCTGGTGGCTCGCCCTTGCCTGGAACGTCAGGAGGGCTGTGGCCTGAGGTGCAAGTGCCCTGAATCCGGAGTGCCCTGGGCAGCTGAGATGGGGAACAAATGGATGAAAGGATGCTTTGGAGGTGGCTCCAGGGCTGGCCTATTGCCAGAGTTTGGAGCAAGGACATTTGAGTGCTTTTCCTGCAAGAGATGTGGGCCATACAGGCAAAATCAGTATTGGGTTGATGTGGGTCTCCTCAGCAGGTGTCTAGGAGACCTTCACAGGGTGTGTTCCACTGGGAGTCCAGTGACAGAGGACAAAATTGCAAGTAACCCTCCCGGAACAGAAATGCATCTGTGCAGGATGAGGGAATCCCAGGAGAGAGGAGCCCGACAGGAGAGCTCTGAAGAGGACCTGCATTGAGTTAGAGTCAGCTTCAGTCATACCAAGGCCTCTCTGGGGACCCCAGCATTCAACTTTCCAGCTAAGAAAGGACAAAACCAAGCAGCCACCTGGAGCAAAGCGTAGGGAGTGAAAGAACTGCATTCTCCATCCCCACTGCAGCCTTCCAGCCATGAGCTGTGGGAAACAGAAATACTGAATGCTCGGTTAATTCTGGAGTTTGGAAGAGCATCTTTACATGTAGATTCTAATCATAGAATTAAGATTATTTCACAGTATAAAGTGACCCCAAGTCTGTCTCTTGACTACATATAGGCAGGTGTGGTGTGGGAACTCTCTCAGAAGATTTGTTCAGTGTCTGAGAAAGGTTACTGAATCCGATATTTTTTTAAAGGTGGTAGGAAAACAATAAAATTATGCTTTCTTATGTCTGCAGTTGTGTCTATTCAACTGATTGTATTTATGTATTTATATTTGGGTCAGGCTCTTACCCTGTCACCCAGGCTGGAGTGCAGGGGCACAATCACAGCTCGCTGCAGCCTCGACCTCCCCAACTCAAGCAGTCCTCACACTGCTAGGACCACAGGTGCACTCTGCCGCACCTGGCTAATTTTTATTTTATTTTTTTTGTAGAGACAGGGTCTCACTTTGCTTCCCAGGCTGGTCTTGAACTCCTGGCTCCGACAGTCCTCCTTCCTCAGCCTCCAAAAGTGCTGGGATTATAGGTATGAACTACCGTGCCTACCTCCCATTTTAAATATTTGAATAAAGAACAATTTGTTACTAAAATTGGCCCTAAACAGTATTTAATTTTGCATTTATAATGAAAACAAACAGGCTTTTGAAATAGTTTGGGGTCATCCTATGGCAGAGGCCATTTGAAAGTCTACTGCCCCTGGACTGGGCTGGCTTTCAGTGTGAATCTCAGACGTCCTGATTCATGCCCCAGTGCAGCCCACCTTGTGGAGGAACCCGTGTAGCATAGGCGAGGCAAAGGTGGGCTGGCCCTCGCGGAGATTGTAGTTCAGCCTGAGAGGCGGATAGATAATGAATGCATCTTCACTCTAAAGAGTACCCATTTTAAAAAATGTTGAGAAAGAAAATGTAAGAAAAAAGTGGAATCACGAGGCAGCATGAAAGTGTAGCCTCATCTTGAGTGGGAGGCCCTGGGGGCCTTGCTAGGGATGAAATATTTGAGTTGAATGTGGACGGGGCATAGGCAGATAGATAGGCAGAGTGTTGGGAACCGCACAATGCTGGCAGCGGGAACAGCCTGTGCAAGGGGCTGAGGAAGGAGGGGAGAGTGCTGTCTGTCTGAAGAACTAGAAGAGCCTCAGGATGAGTGCAGGGAGGGTGGGCCCTGAGTCCCCAGCCAGGCTGGAGAGCAAGCAGGGCAGATCCCTCCTTCCAGATGACATCGCCATCACAGTTGCTGGCAGTTTTTGGCTTCTTAAAGCACATTACAGTACTTGTCTTTCCTCCTCTTCTCAAAATGAAGGCAATAATACTTTTTATTTTTCACAGAGTTGTTAGAGGATTAGAGGACTCAATGTGGGCCTGAAGAGGAGTTTGTACGACCTAGGAGAAAGCAGGGTCTGGTTAGGACCAGTGTATTTCAACCTTGTAACTTGTCCAGCAATTGTGTTTCAGTGTGTTTCCAATGCATGATTTATTCATGTCTGTTAGTGAAATAAAAGGCCAGGAGGTCATCTGGGTGCACTGTGGTTGTAGGATTTCCATGGGAGTCCAGCGTGCACATGCTCCTGGGACAGACAGAAGAGCCGACTGGGAAGCTTGTTTAGGGGTAGTGGAGAGGAGGAGGAATAACGAGGCCACTCTGTCATTTCAGCTCGCTCTCTTTTGCTGCTTCTCAGCCTCTGCATCTATAAATAGTTGAGGCTTCTGGAACAAGCACAGTGTCAGGGCTGGTGACAGGAGGAAGGAGGGGAATTTGCCGTCCTTTGGGTTCCCTTGAGAGGATGGCCTCCCTTAGGCACCTACAGCCGTTGGATGAGAGCAGGATCCAGATGACAGCATTAAGTGTCACAAGATTGGACCAGCCTTGGGGACATGGACAGCCCGCTCCGATCATTTCATCTGACTCGGTCTCCCCAGCTCACCTCATGGACAGTCCTGCCTCCCCTGATGTCTTCAGGTTGGTATTTGAATTTAAAAATGTAGAGGTTAACTGGGCATAGGGATTATGTAAAATAGTGGGTTTTTTTTTTTTTTCCAAACTTTTCTCCCTGAAACCGTACAGTTCGCTGATGCACCGCAGGGCAATGAGGGAGTGAGAGGGGGTGAATCAGGCAGCCCACCCTCCAGCCCCAGCTCCACCAGACCAGCGACCCTTTCATCTCATTCACGTGTTGAACTTGGTCCACTAATTTCATTTGAAGTCAGTGTGGCCAATCTTTATTAAAATACACAGATCAACGATCAAATAAATAACTATTTTGGGCTCCTGATTCTGTCAAATTCTTTATTTTGCTGATAAAGACACATGGCTTCAAAAACACATTTCCGATGTTAGCGCCAGTCGTCTCTTGAATGTCACACATGTACTCCCGGGTGCTTTGCTCTGTAACATAGGGTCAGGCACCAGTAGGGGGAAAGACCATCAGTAGGGAATGGTGTTATTGTCAGTGACTGCTGAAAACAAGCCTTCAAGCATTCACTCAGCTTTAGCAAAATGCGAAATGTGTACTTAGAAAAAAACAGGCGAAAAACTGAAAAATTAACTGACATGACATGTACACACAGTCACACATACACTCACACACTCACACGTACTCTTACACTCATGCACACTCGTACTCTCATACACCCTCACACCACTCACCCTCTCTCATGGATACACACACCCCCTTACATTTGCACATTCACAAACTCTTACACTCATGAACACTCACACTCATACATTCTCGCACCACTCACCCTCTCTCATGGACACACACACCCCCTTACATTTGCACACTCACACTCATACATTCTCACACCACTCACCCTCTCTCATGGACACACACCCCCTTACATTTGCACACTCACATACTCTTACACTGTCATGCACACTCATGCTCTTATACACACATTCACACACCACTCACCCTCTCGTGCACACACATTCTTACACTTGGAATCTCACACATACACACACACTCTCATATACACACTGTCACAGTCTCACAACCTCACTCGTGCACACATACATCCTCACACACAGTCACACACCCTCATTCACACACATTCTCACACACCACACACCATCACATACACACACACTACTTACACACCCTCACTCGTGCAGACACATGCCCATCCTCATACACACACTCTCAAACGCACTCATACCCTTGAGTTCTCACACTCACATGTTCACACACAGACACACACACACTCACTCATACACAGGGGAACATAAGAGCCGGCATCAGAGCAAAAATAATTCAGCTTTCAGGGACCCAGGAAATGGTCGTTCCTGTGCACGGGGTGGTGCTGAAGCTTCCTCAGGAGCAACCTGTCAGCCTGGTGTCATCACAGTCATGGTTGGCATCTGTACGGAGAGAACAGTTCCTCGCTGTGGAAGTAAAATGGCAAATTGTGGGAAGAGATGAGCTGGGTAACACTGGCTCCTCTTGAAATGCAGAGCCTGTGTGGGCACAGCTTCTGGGCAGCTGGGTGCCTGCAGCTGGGCACCTGGGCATCTGGGCACTCAGGCAGGGACTCTGAAGCATCCATGCTTGGGAGATATCCCACCCCTTCTGATGGCCGCCGAGGGGACACACACTCAGATGTCCTGGGGATGTCGAGGGAGGGAAGCATGTCTCTTCACTAAAATGGGAGCAAAAGAAGAGCCGTGAACACGTGTTTTTGCTTCTTAGAAACAGCTGCATGGAGCCAATGGACTCAAATACGCCCAGGTGCAGAGCTCTGACGCTTTAAGAAACCTAATGCTTCAGTAAATAAGTGGAGACACCTGGGAATGGAGTGACCGTGGGCTCGGTGGAGCTTCCATGGAAAGATCCATCTTTTCCCCGCAGAGGTTGCTTGGTGTTGTGAAAATGGAGAGAAGCCAGGGAAGGCCAGGTTGCCCACGGTGGAGCGGCACAGCGGGAGCTGAGGACCGCCTGGATGAGGGACACTCTGCACCGAGCAATGACACCTCCCTGACCCCGTGGGGGCCGCTGAGGAGGTCCTGAGGAAGGTGCATGCCCTCCGTCAGGGTGCAGAGCCCACTTCCACCCAAAGGAATCGGAGTTACACCTTGTAATGTTTGTCATGATTCTAACCTGCTTTCTCCTGCATAAAAGTCACTTGCACAGTGAAATCTGGCTCTGTAACTACCCCTCCGTCACCCAGCCCGCGGGATATAACATTTGCTTCTTTGACAAATATTTATTGAGCAATTATAATATGCTAAGCACTAGATGTATCTAGCGGGGATTAATAAGGAGAAAAACACTTTGTATCCTATCGTAGGTACATTTATAGTTAAAGGTTTTCACATTTTCAAAACAAAATGTTTTTTGAAAAATGCATATTTTCCTGCCATAATTTTTTTGATGTGAAGATTTACAAGGTTATGAGAAATTAAACGTTAAATTTTAGATGCAGTTATCATATTTTAACATATTTAAACTATAGGAAACTGAGGCTATCCCAGATTATACAAACTATATGGGGCTAGAGAGAAAAGTCAGAACAATGGAAGGTGAGTGAAAAGTACAGCTGACAATCATTTAAGCGGCCTGAAAGACCTTTTACGGAAAGAGAAACAAATGCGTCTCAAACCACCAGCTGTTTGCCAAACACTTTATCTGTAGCCACCTGAAGCCCCTGATATGGTTAGGGTTTGTGTCTCCACCTAAATCTCATCTTGTATTGTAATTCCCCTTATCCCTGTAATCCCCACGTGTTGGGAGAGACCAGGTGGAGGTAATTGAATCATGGGGCTGGTTTCCCCTGTGCTGTGCTTGTGATAGTGAGTTCCACGAGATCTGATGGTTTTATAAGGGGCTCTTCCCCATTCGCTCAGCATTTCTCCTTCCTGCCCGCTTGGAAGAGGTTGCCTTGCTTCTCCTTCGCCTTCCACCGTGATTGTAAGTTTCCTGAGTTCTCCCGAGCCACGCTGAACTGTGAGTCAATGAAACCTCTTTCCTTTATGAATTAATTACCCAGTCTGGGGCAGTTCTTTATAACAGTGTGAAAGTGAACTAATACAAAACGCAGACGAAAGCAGTGTTCAGGGAAGCTGGTGACTTGCTTGAGGTCACAGAGATTCGGATTTGCCTCTAGGACAGTGTAGGACACAGCTCTGTTTTATTGGACACTCCTAATCACTTCTCAGGCACCATGTGTCTGGATAACGATGGCATTTTGCAAAAACAGAAGCCCTGTTAACATTTATGTAGATAAGTAGGTCATTCTAGAATTTTTTTGTGTGTAACTGAAACCTTGAGATTCCTACCCACCTCCCCTCCCCCTCGTAGCCCTCACACACCTCCTGCTGCCCATAGGCTGAGCACACAGTTCATCCCTCCTGTTCCCAATGTCCTCCTGTCTGTGGAGTTCATTGGAAGGAAAGAGAAAGCTCGTAAAGTGCAAGCTAAAAGTAAATGCTTCAAAGAAGGTCACTGACTTCGCAGATAGTCTAGCCAGGATTATTTTTCATTTTGACACACAAAAGGGATAGACTTTAAGATTTCTGTACTTGTTTATGGCCTGGTTATTAAGAAATCCAAAAATAAATAATTTAACTGAAAACATTTTAGGCCATGGCTTTGTGTAGACGTTTTTCAAACTACCATGGCAGAAATATGGTATGTACAATTAAAGGCTTCAAAATAAAAAGCTGCCTTTCTAAACCCAAGTATGTATATTCTAGAAAATTCAGCTCAAACTTCCTTCAACCATCTGAATTACAGGTCTCTACTATTTTGTTTTGTTTGCTTGTGGTTGCTTCAATTATCTCACAATTTACTTTTATTTACAGTATAATCACAGACTATGGATACTTTGACAGAATAATATGATTGAAAAAACAATTGTGGATGATAAAAAATTTTAAAGCAATATTTTGGTCACATTTTGTTTTTTTTCTTTCATTTCTCACTTGACAGTTTATTATATTTCTACGTGTTCTCATAAGAAATGATTTTAATGTCTGATATTCCATTATGTGAATTTATCATGACATATTCTTCTGTTTCTGCACATTAAATTTAGTTTTGATTTTTTAGGAATTATAAAAATGTGCTCAGCATAATTGATTATACATTCTGTGCCCAATTCTAATTATTCCTGTGACAGAATTTTAGAAGGAGAGTTACAAAACTGAGTGTCTAACCTTGTTAAGGCTCCTGATAAATATTTGTTTTTCTCAATTGCGTTTATATACATTTACACATCTGTGGCTTCAGAAGTACTATTGGCCAGGCGCGGTGGCTCACGCCTGTAATCCTAGCACTTTGGGAGGCTGAGGCAGATCACTTGAGGTAAGGAGTTCGGGATCAGCCTGGCCAACATGAAAAACCCTATTTCTACTAAAAATACACAAGTTAGCCGAGCGTGGTGATATGTGACTATAGTCCCAGCTACTCAGGAGGCTGAAGCACGGGAATCACTTGAACTGGGAAGGCGGAGGTAGCAGTAAGCCAAGGTCGCACCACTGCAGCCTGGGCGAAGGAGCGAGACTGTCTCATTAAAAACAAAAACAAAAGCTAGGACTATTTATTCTATCTGGTCATATATATGATTCTGACCTCCAAAGTGGAGACGGTGTCTCCTCAAAGCCATAAATCTGTAGGGTGTTTAGCAGGTAGATATTTTGTATCCTGATGAATTTCAAAATTCTTTTGGTATTTTATTATTCTCTTCTCCTTGGGTTTTTTGGCTTTATTGAGATGATTTATGATTTTTAAAGTCAAATAATTTTATAGGCTAACAACAAAAATAAGTATAAGTACTATTTTAATACCAGTTTTAAAATATATGTGTATGTATTTGTGCATTCAAATGTCAAATGTGAGGTATATACATGTACAAATATATTTCAAAGATAAATATTTTCCCCTTTCATCTTTTCTGTAAATTGTAGCTAGAATTGCATTTCTAAAGTAAAGATACACATAGAACTCTCATAAAATGCTGTGATAACATTTTGTCTGTATGACAAAGTGCTATGTCTGTGATGGGGCCTGGCAGCCCTCCTAATCTAGCCCCATTCCTCTAGCCTTGACAGGTAATTTTACATATTCCAAGTATGTCACATATTTTTATACTATGTCCTATGCCTAAAGGAAGCATGCTGTGGATTTTTTTCTTCCCACTATTCCTTCACTGGAATACCTAGACTCTCCAAAGGTCAAATCTTCACACTAGAATTCTCAGAATGCTGACTGCCCCATTGAGATATTTAGGCACCGGATCTAAGTCTATATGACTCTGTTGGTTGAATGAGTACTATTTTTAAAGCAAATATACTGGAAAGGTTATAAGGTCTGGAGTGGTCATTTGGTCATAGTGTGCATTTGTTTAATTTGATTATCCTCTTTCAAGGGAGCGAAGGAAGAAGTAGTATTGACTCCTCGGAGCAGGCTTGAGTGTTTTTCTAGGGCTCTTGTTTAAGCCGGTGAAAGTTCATGAAGACCTTTGTACCTCTGGGGAAGGAAGGACAATTGGCCTGGGAGGCAGTTGATCTGTAATTTCACAAGCCTTGGAATTCTGCTTGTGGCTGACAGTTTCCGATAAGACTGTCTAGAAATCTGGTAGGTAGTGGCTCCTCACTCCGAATAGGGGAGTCTTACCTTCCTCCATACCTTCAATGGAGCCAAGGAGAAGGTGTGGAAAATGCATTTTTTTTAGATCCCTGTGTATGAGTGACATTCTTTGCCACATCTGGATTGGCTCTATAATAGTGACTGGTATTCCTTGTCAAAGTAATTCAAAAGTGTACAAGGACAAGAATTGACATGTGCTAATACCAGTATTTAAACTGTTGGTGAGAGAACTAGGCAGCAGTAGCTAGGGAGATGGAAGCCCCAGGCAAAGGACCTTAGGTACACTTTTCTGTTGGTCACAGTATACTCAGCCTATTTAATGCCAACGTGATATCAAACCAGTTAATGAAACAAAAACACTTATTTGAGGACTTCAATATGATTAAAGATAGTTTCAAATTCTAGAGATTCCAGAGAAAGAAACAAGAGGTAAAGGAGTTACAATGCAACATGATAAAGATGGTTTAACATTTTTAACAGATACATAAAGATTTCCTCCCCACCCCCATTCCCAGAAAAGCCTCTAGAACAATTCTAATCGCATTTCTTCAACAAGCATCTCCTGGGCGATGTTGCCATCTATGCGTAGGTACAGAGAATTTTGGGATCCAGATATAAGCCTGCAGCCCCATAGCCGATAGCCCAGTGGGCGGCAAGCTCGAACCTGCTGATAACATCCAGGGACAAATACCAGGGATGTAAGAGCAGAAGGATGAGCAAGTTGCCATGGAAATGGTACACAGAATATCAGTTTCCTTTGGGAAGGGAAAATCTAACATGAAAGGTGATATTTGAATTGAGCCTTTAAAAAAGCACAGAAATATATCTCCAGCCCCAATTCCTTGGCCTCTTTATCTGTTGACTACAGTACCGCAGGGGACCTCTAGCCTGCCTCTCTCAAGGTGTCGTCCTCACTTTGTAACAAATCTTATCACAACATCCTCATCTACCTACCTCTTAGCCTCATCACTGAAACTAAGAATAGTCCACATCATTGAGCTCCAAGCTTCCAACAGGATCTGACCTTTGAGTCACTGGGGAGGGAGTGAGAGTTCGAGAAAGAAACATTTCGACAACACACTTCTCCCCAACTTGACCTTTACTTCTGCCACCCTGGACTTTTCCCTGGTCTCTGAATTGAGAAGCCCTTCCTCTTCTCTGCTTTTGAAACGGTGTTTTATGGTCTTGCATATATTTAACAAGAAGTTTTGCATTGTCCCTTCAGGTCTCTGCCTTGGTTTGTGTATGCATTGTAATGTATATTATAGATGTGTGATTGTTTCCTTAATGAGCCTCTCCCCAGTCTGGAGTCTCAGCCCCTTGAGGACAGGCACAGGGCCTACCACATTGCATGACAAGTAGAATGGACTCAATAAATGCTATTTAAGAAGAAAAAAATGAATAAATGCCAATCTCCCAATAGAAATAAATTGAGAAAAAGGGCGTAAGTTTCAGCAGGGACAGCATGAAAAAAACCTTGTAGTCATGAAAGCACAGGTCATATTCAGAGACCCACAGTGAGGGCTAAGTAATAGAATGCACTCAGGATGAAATGCAAAAGAAGCTGGGGTGTTTGGTTTGCTTAAGATGCTTGATAGCATGCTTGTGTTTTGGATAATAGAATTTACGATAATGCAGATTTTGAAAAAGTTATGTGTGAACCCTATTTTGTTTGTGAGTTATATCTGGACTGCAATGCAGGACAGTAGGCTAGCAGAGAACCTGGAGGCAGGGATTTTGTTCAGACTTCTTTTTTAACCTTTCCACTGGTCACACTAGGGCAAAAGAGCAAGCAAGGCCAGGAAATCAGATTAGATATTAAAATCTATGCTGGCACTTGAAAGTGAAAATTAAGTGATGGTTTGGTGTTGCTCTTGTCTTTGGGCCAGTAATAAAGAGAACTGTAAATGTGTTTTAGAGGACACCTAATAGCTGCTGCCCAGCTCATGTGGAGCCGGCCCCTGGTATTGGGAGAATGCTCAAGTCATCTCTGTGCCTTCTGCTTCTTCAAGTGGATCAGCTCCAACAAGTACAACTGAATGACATCTTCTGTGACCCTCACCTCATTTTCTTTTTCATTATTACTTTTTTTTTTATTTTTGACACATAATAATTATAAATATGGAGTACCTAGTGATGTTTTGATACATAT